TGGGTATCATCTTACTACTGCTCTTGTTATTGTACGCACGGGTGTTCTCCAGATTGATATTCGTATTCTTATCATTCTTAGTAATATTGATATTTTCAGTGTTGCCATTATTCTTAGTTTTAGTATGACTCTACTGATGAACATTCGTGGCAGTTGTCTTCTTATTTTCTCCTTGGTATTATTATTAGTAATACCATTAACCGTAGTAGCCTTAGCGCCATGATTATGAACCATAGTATTACCATGATAAGCATTCGCAGTCTTCGTATTACCTTTAGTACTGTTATTGATATTAGCAACAGTATTCCTCAACTATTACTAACGGTATTACTCTCCGTACTCTATTCTTTTTATTGATAAATTTGTTAATATTATTTGCACGACGTTCATGATTATTACAAGTGGCACGTGTGTGCCCAGGCTCATACAACAAGCTGAAGGGGCGTTTGAAGCAGGAGTGACATGCAACAGCGAAGTCGCACTCGAGCGCAAGTGGGGTTGCCACACCTTGCGATGTGTGTACCAGGGCCCCCCAGGAACCCTCAGGAGGCCCGACTTGGATACCAGAAGAGGCTCCAGGAGGCCCCAGGATTGTGAGTGTTGTGTGTGTGTGATGTGTGCTTTGTGTGGTGCGTGCTTTTTGTGTGTTGTCGGTGTTGTGTGTGTGTGGGTGTGTATGTTATGTTTGTCTAGCGTGTGATGTGTTGGGCGTGATTTGTGACTCTGTGTGTGCACGTAGTTCTGAAGCCCCAGGAGGCCCCAGGAGGCCCCAGGCGGCCTCAGCAGGCCCAGGAGAACTCCAGGAGGCTCCGAGGCGGGGTCTGGGGTACCAGAAGGTCCAGAAAGCCCCAGGAGGCCCCAGGAGGTTCCAGGATGCCCCCAGGAGGCTCCGAGGAGGGGTCTGGGGCTCGATTTTGGGAGGATTTTTCATGCGAAACCGCCATTCTCTGAGAATCAGGGTCAAAATTATTGAAATGACCATGTGTTTTTGAAGGTTTTAAGTTAAAATGTTGAAATTCCTATGTGTTTTTGGACCTTGACGTCACGATCTGCGTGAGGGGTGCCACCGGTTTTCAGAATTTCGAGGATGTCCCGAGCGAAACGGCCAGAAAAATCGCGGACGCGTGCGCATTAATCGCCTCTGAGCTCTACTCCCTCGGAGAGGTGCGTATGAGAACTAGTTACTAATACGACTCTGACTGTCAGCATTACATTATTAACTGCCGCACTAAAAATATTACTATTGGCGTTCCTGTTATTGTTCTTCTTCTTATTACTATTACTATTCTTTTTTGCGGAATGAGAGATCTGGAAGCAATGGGGCGCCGGGCCCTTGCTCCCCACGTGCACCCAACGCGCGGGGGGAGGTGAGACGATAAGCCCTGGCTCGCGCGCGCGCGCCCCACCTGCAGCCTCGGCCCCGCGTGCCGACGCAGCGACCCCTCCCGAGACGAGGGGGGCAAGCCGGAACACCCGGGGGTGGCAAGCTGGCAGGCCAGGGCGCCGCTTCGCGACTGCGGCCCAAGCCGCCGCGCTCGCTCGACCCGGTCGGCACGGCTTCCGGAGCTACCGCGCCGGCCTCACCTCTGCGTCCGGCTCTGCTGTATGCGGCTCTGCTTCAGCTGCTGGAGGGCCTGCGAGTGCTGGCCTCTTCTCAGGTGGATGTAAACCAAGGTGCGCAGCGGCGCAAGCGCGTGGGGACGCACCGTGAGCGCCTTGTTGCAGCACCTCTCCGCCTCGTCGAGGTCGCCGCCCTGGCAGTGCGTCGCCGCCAGGTTGGTGTAGAGCGTGCACTGCGTGTCGCCCAGGCACGGCATCTCCGCCGGCGGGAACATGACCAGGGCAGCACTGCCCCCGTCCTTCGGGTTGTGCGACTTCTCCTTCTCCGAGTCGCCCTTGCCCTCGCGGTCCTTGGCGGCCTGCTGCCAGGAGCCCCCCGCGCAGTGCTGGAGGTACGCCGGTGGCGTCAGGCCGCCCATGGGCGCCCCAGGGCTCATGCCGCCGCAAACTGCGCGGGCCTCCTCGGCACCCGCGTCGGAGTCCTCTGGGCGCCGGGCGCCCACCACCTGAAGCCAGAGCGCCCACGAGATCCAAGCGCCTAGAAGTCAGAGCTTGCCGAGACACGACTCTGAGTCTCTCGAGGCCTGCTCAAAAATCAGTGGCATCCGACCGAGCTGCAAAAAAAGCTCCTGCCTCCCAGGAATTCGAATCTCGCAGGGCGCTCTTGCGTTCCGGCGCCACGTGGGCGGCGGAGTGGCGCTCCAGCTCCGCGGTGACACTGTTCTGCAGCTCGAGCCCTCTGGTGACGGCGTCACCTGACACGAAGCTGCCCAGGAGAGTTCGGGCCTCCAACGGCCTCCCCAGCAGCAGGAGCGCCTCGGCGGCGTAGAGCACTCCAAGGGTGGCACAGCCAATTGACGGCGCGAACTCCTATGAGAATGCAGTCACACGCGTACACACACACACACACACACACACGAGCACTGGCAGGCCTTACTCTGGGCCCATGACCAGTGTACACGCCCCCCTGGATACAGGATAGGCCTGGATCAAGGAGAGCCTGGATCTGGGCACGCACACAAGTCCTGTATCCAGAATGGGCCTGGCCAAATTTGGCGTTGCCGTTTTGGTGGTGTCCCTGCGGCTCCCTCTCGTGTGCGGCGCCCGCGGCGGCGGTGGAGGACAAGCTCTGGGCTTGGAACGTCCACTGCTTACGTGCATCCTCGGCATCCTCCGACACCACCGCGGCCGCAGACGGGGACTGAGACCGGCCGTGCTCCTTACCCGCCTCCTTGGGCAGCATGAGGCCCTTCTCGAGGAAGCGCCGGGAACACCTGAGCGCAGCGGCGTGGTCGTTCTGGCACAGCGACACGTACGCCAGCTTGACCAGAGCCGCATCCTCCAGCAAGCTCGCCTCGCAGTCGACCACGTCCCGGGTGTGGTGCCTGGACCCGCCGCCAGCCCCAGACGCCTTGCCCGCCCGCAGCCCACCGCCGCTGCCGCCAGACATGCCGCCCGCCTTCTCTCCCGCGCCCGCACCTGGCGCGGCGGCGCCAGACCCCACCGCGGGGGCGGCGGCCGCCGCCTCCGCGCCGCCCTCGGCGCCTCCGGGGCCGCCGCCGCCCCCGCGCTCGGCGAGCAGCGGCGCGGTGAGCACGAGCACGTTCCGCAGGCACATAGCGGCGTGCGCCAGCGCGCCCTCGCCCACCAAGGGCGGGCGCTCCCCCGCGGCGCCGGCGTCCCTGGGCGCGTGCGGCGCCGCGGCCGGCTTGTCCGGGGCTCTGTCGCCCTTCTTCTCGCCCTCGTCGTCCTCGCCGGCCACGCGCCGGCCGATCGGCGGGCTCCGGGCCGTCGAGAGGAGCCACCGGCGGTGGGGCCCGCCGCCCTGCACGCTCCAGCACAGCTGCCGCGCGCCGCCGCTGGAGCCCAGCGTGCCGTGCGCGGGCGGCCTCGCGGCCACGTGGCTCCACGACGAGCAGGCCCCGGCGCCGCCGCCCTCGGCGGCTGCTGGGCCGTCGCACGGCGCGCGGGCCAGGCCCTGGCTGTGCAGCTCGATGCAGCACTCCGCCATCCGCAGCCACAGCCGCGGCCAGGTCCGGAACACCGGGGCGCACTGCTCGAAGCACTTGAGGGCGCCGGCCGGCCGCTCGCACATCAGCATCTGCAAGCCGGCGTTGTACGCCACCTCCGCGCGCCTGTCGAGCCAGTGCCTCGGGGGCTTCCATTTCCTCCTCCTCCTCCTCCTCCTCCTCCTCCTCCTCCTCCTCCTCCTCCTCCTCCTCCTCCTCCTCCTCCTCCTCCTCCTCCTCCTCCTCCTCCCTCCAAGGCCAGTTTTTAGGGTGGGCTGGGCGTTTCGCCTGAGACTTCCTCACCAGTGATAAGTCTAAGAATTGACAGCAGTATGACAGATGGAGGGTGGGTGGTTTTCAAAATGTGGCTCTCGCCATAGCGCGGCGCACATTTCGTTGAAAATTTGAAAGAGGTTCACGGATTGAGGGCGGTTCGTTTTCAAATGTGGCTCTCGCCTTAGCGCCGCGCACATTCGTTACAAAAATTGCAAGAGTCTCACGGGTTCCCATCTGCAGCGTACCAGAACCGACGTTTTGGAAGGATTCACGATTATGCGGGTGCAACTCGGGAGCGGCCAAGAGAGGGGTGTCCAAGAGGGGGGGTGCAAATCATGACCGGTGGCATGTGCGCGGCCCAGCGGGGGGGCCAGGGACGTAATGAAATAAGAAGAGGCGCCATGAAACCTGGGGAGATATCATGGCCCCCACCATGATATCCACCCCCCCTAGTCATCACCCCCCTCTTTGCCGCCCCCGAGCAACAGTTACGTTGATTCTCTGTGCTGAAGTCCTAGGAATGGCGGTCTGGCACGATTCAGGATCGTCAAGACGCAACAGTCAGGTTGATCCGTGGCGTTGGAATCCCGAGAACAATGCTTTGGCATGCTTCAGGGTCTTCAAACGGATGTCTTCCAACGAAGCAGTTCCCTCAATGGAAATGAACCGTTGAAGGGGCCTATGACGAGGGAGCTTGGAGGGAGGGTTCACTCCAACATCGCTGATGACTCTTGGGTTTACACTGGCCCTCCTCATCATCCTCCTCCTCCTCCTCCTCCTCCTCCTCCTCCTCGTCCTCCTCCTCCTCCTCTCTCCTCCTCCCCCTCCTCCTCCTCCTCCTCCTCCTCCTCCTCCGCTCTTTCCTCCTACTTCCTCCTCTCCTCCTCCTCCTCATCCTCTCTCCTATCCTCACTCCTCCTCTTCCTCCTCCTCTCCTCCTCCTCCCTCCTCCTCCTCCTCCTTCCTCCTCCTCCTCCTCCTCCTCCTTGCCTCCTCCTCCTCCTCCTCCTCCTCCTCCTCCTCCTCCTCCTCCTCCTCCTCCTCCTCCTCCTCCTCCTCCCCCTCAAGCTCCTCATGCCCCACCTCCTACTATCCCTCCTCTGGCCTGGGCCTCCTTTCCACCCTCCACCTCCTCCAGCTCCTCATCCTCATCCC